ATAGCTCAATCCGGCGCGAGGTCGCAAAATCAGTATAACAGTTTGTATGAGGAGAGGTGGATCACAATGACGTGTGATGAATGAATATACAATAATGAAATACCACTAGGAAATAAACACGCGACTTTAAGGAACATGTAAATCTTTGTCGGCGCTCTGATCATTATTACAAGATGGTAAAGTACATGAGAACCAGGGAAGAGTATTGGGCATTATTATTATCGTTTTTAACTTATATTCACAAAACAAATACTTATCTCGGCCCCCGTAATGACATACTAGGAATGAAATAGTTTCATGAGTGAATTTCAATTTGAAAATGCTTGTTACAGAAGAAGTTGTGAATCAAAAATACTGAAAGGNATTTAGAAATATTTCCGCATTGCACTCGTAACGCAGGGTGCAAAGAAAGACAGTTTTATTTCCGAGTGCATTGTATAGCCCAAGCGAGTCATTTTAACGTAGCCCACGTAACATCGACGTAAAATTTATTGGATGCCAGAGTCGGTGTAGTAGGGCACGGAAATGCCACTCCCCGTCCTGCACGTCGAGCAAGTGAACGGCAAAAGAATTCCTATCCAATCGCAATTTCCACTAACCCCTGGTCATCGGACACTACTTCCCTTTGCATTGAATAAGATTAAATGGAACATTATTTGTTATATTTATTCATCTACATCTCATTCACAGACAAAAAACTCAACCTAGCGGAGTCAAGGAACCAGGGTAAGTTTTGAGTCCGTGATTTGATTTAAGACATCTTAGTGCAATCGAAGGAAGTCAATCTGGCTTTCTTGATCAGTTAAACGCCGCGTCATTATCTGGTCCGGGTTGTAGGTTGCCTCATTTATTCGGTTGAAAGGTTGTTCGTCATGTTTAATTTACCCCATTCATGTAGGTTTTTTTAATTTTAATTTTTTTGGTTGAGTAGATTCGGGTATTTTTTGTCAATTTCACGATCAGACTACAGCATCATCCCACCGAGATAAGTAGACGGCGAATTGTGGTAGCTATAGGGGCAAACAACGGTGTCATTTCGTACCATTATCTCTTGTTCGTACCACATTTACCCTTTAACATTGGAAAGTATTTGCTACTTGAGGTGCGATTTCTAATCTGTAGATTCCCCAAAACTTTTTTTTGTTTGTTTCTTGAAGATTGATTGGAAGAAAACTAAAACTCTTTCGTGATGAGACAAAGACAGTGCCAGTTGCCAAGGGCATTCTTCTAGAAGAGCCAGATGGTTTGTACATGGAATAATTATCCTTTTCAAAATATAACATACATGGTACCATAATTCTGGAAAACTTTTGCGACAAAGCAAATTTTTTGACCTTGAGAGTGCAATATGTTCGAAACGAGCGATCATATTATATAGCTCAATCCGGCGCGAGGTCGCAAAATCAGTATAACAGTTTGTATGAGGAGAGGTGGATCACAATGACGTGTGATGAATGAATATACAATAATGAAATACCACTAGGAAATAAACACGCGACTTTAAGGAACATGTAAATCTTTGTCGGCGCTCTGATCATTATTACAAGATGGTAAAGTACATGAGAACCAGGGAAGAGTATTGGGCATTATTATTATCGTTTTTAACTTATATTCACAAAACAAATACTTATCTCGGCCCCCGTAATGACATACTAGGAATGAAATAGTTTCATGAGTGAATTTCAATTTGAAAATGCTTGTTACAGAAGAAGTTGTGAATCAAAAATACTGAAAGGCAAAAAGCGTAGAAAGGTCTATATATAATTATCACAAATAGGCAACGAATTCCTAATTTCCATAATTGGCGTCCTTTGTGAGGATTCCCGCCTGAAGGTAGGTTCTTCATTGTGATAGTTGACAGATTACCTGAAAAATAAAAACATAGAGAAAATAAAACAAGTTTGCGACAAGATTAAAATCATCAGCTATCATTGTCCTTTAAGCAATAGACATTGCGATCACATCACGAACGTAACGTTGAACTGCAAAAAAGGATCAAGGAAAAAAAGGTGTCCCAAAGTTAGAAAGAAGAGGGCGGGATATGAATAAAAAGTGACAGTCTTCAGTGCCAATCCCCACCCAACTAAGCCCCACCAGCCCCTCACCTAGCACCAACCTCTCCGCGGCTCCTGGAACTCGCGCCGCTAATTAATTTGTATCTTGCTGATTTATTTGCTGCTTCTTAGAACTCCACCATGAAATTATCTTTTTGCCTTTATTTCCACAGTCTGGAACTGAGGTCTTATGGCCAATGAAGGCGACCCGATTTTACAAACTGTAAAATGTTACGAGGACATGCAGTGATTAAAGTTTATTTTTGAAACTGTTGTTCCAGAGTTGTTGTAGCTTTAACTCAGGGGAAAAGACGGCTGTCATTGTAGATAAATAGTTTGTGGTTTTTACGATGAACGTATTTCTAGTGCTATTTAATTAATGTGAACGCAAGAGTGGATACTAAAAAACAGGACCTCGGTACAGAACTGAGGATAAAAAGTTCTTTCATACCTGTCTCCCTCTATTTTGTCCCTCGCAACCGTTGACGCAACGCTCAGAAGACGGGGCATTGCATGACGAGACGAAAGCGGCCGCGAGGGACTGGACCTATTTGTCGGGGTGGTATCATGCGTCATGGAAAAGTAGTCTAAAGAGATGTGGTGTCCTCTTTTGCTTGGAATCAGGCCGTGGTTACATCAGTTTCATCGTAAGAAGTACTAAAGAATGTATTTAAACAACTTTTTGACACAAAATTACGATTTCCATACAATTGTTTGCATACTAAAAATCTCTGAATGTGATCGCAAAAACGACATTTTACGACACACAAATACGAGTTCAAAACTCTTCTTCTGCTCGCACTTCCACCCTGCCTTTATTGTAAAAGCGACAAAATACGATTTTCCTACGAGTTTTGTATGGTAAAAATCTCTGAATGTGATCGTCAAAAAGATATTTGGCAATACAAATACGAGTTCAAAACTCTTCTTCTTCTCGTAGTTGCACCGTGCCTTTGCCGTAAAACGACAAAATACGATTTCTTTACGATTTTTTTATGGTAAAAATCTCTGAATGTGATCGTAAAAACGACATTTCACGATAAAAATACGAGTTCAAAACTCTTCTTTTGCTCGTAATTGCACCGTGCTTTAATCGTAAAAGCGTCACAATACGACTTTTTGAAAACATACTTTACAACATGAATACGATTTATTTAAGCTAATTTGCGATGTAAAAACGATCACTTTACGACGAAAATAAAGTCCCAATACGACTTAAAATACGACCCTTTTACTATCAAAATACGATCTAGAGGTCAGTAGTGTTACAAATGGTCATCGCCCGGCCGGCGGCCTTGTTCGACCCTTACGCCGCCATTGCCACTCTCGAGGAGGTAGTGAACGTTACGAGAGACAAGAAAGACGACAGGGCCACCCGTTTTCAGATAGTCCTGAGACAGTGCGCCCATTGGGTAGCAGTCCAAACCTACAGCAGATTCTTATTAAGCTAGTGGCAACGAAGGAGGAAGCCGAGGTGGCTAAGGTTATAGCCAAAGTGACAAAGGAGCCCGCCTCACCCTACCACGGGTCGTTCAGGGGACAGACGCGTGGAACCCCGTATTTAAGGCGTGGGACTTTCCTCATGAGGCCTCCAACCGCTCCACGTTGTTGGTTGTGAGGAAAGATGGGCCACATCTCCCGTTTTTGCCGAGAGAGGCGCTGATCCTGATTTTCACGTTTGTTCTGATATTCTTTTCCTGGAAGTTATTTGATATTGTTTTATTGATAATAAAGCGTTCGAATTTGTACTTAACACGATTTCTATGTTTCTGTTAGTATTTTCCTACGAATCTGTTCTCTCGAGGTTAGAGAGGTGACCCCACAAGCGTTTTGCCTATAGGCATGCCCTTGGGCCCGATTACTCGGGCTACGGTGGTCATTCTCTCTGAACTCGGGTGCAATTTTTCTGGGCGCGGGTTACTTTCCCCTTCTGATCGTTCGTTTCGATGATTTCTTTTAGCCTACGGTGAAGCGTCTAAGGGGAGAGGTATTGGAGTTTGCGCCCTTGGAAGCGATGAAAAGGGCTGAACATAGAGAAATACGCTGGATATCCTTGGATAGAGACCCGAGTTCAGAGAGAATGACTAACAGTAAAAAGTGCCTGTCGGATGTTTGTAGCATTTTTCGGGGTGAAACACCCGTTTCGATGTCTGATTTGTCTTTTCGTGATCCTGACTCTTTCAAGTCTGGTGAACTCCGTACATGCATTGACCTCTGGAAGGATATTTTGGAGGGTTATGACCAGGTGGAAAATGTCCTTGAGTGGATAGGAAAGGGTGTAAATATCAGGGAATTTATGAGTCCGTTTCGGGGGTCCTTTATGGTCGTTAACTATAATAGCACCGATCCCCCATCGAGGGCCTTTAAAAACCACCACTCTTGTAAACAGTTTTCGCAGTTTGTTACGGAGACACTTTTACAGTACATCGAGACTGGGGCAATCCGTGTCTGGGGTCGGGTTGGGGACCTAAGTCCGCGCCACTTGGTCCTCCCAATGACAATCGAACCGCAGAAGCCCAGATTATGCATTGACGCCCGATTCTTAAATCTGTGGATGAGGGATACCCCTTTCTCTCTTGACACGCTCGTTGGAGTTCCTCGCTTCGTGTATCCTAACTCTTACATGAGCAAGATCGACAACAAGTCTGGCTATGATCATATTCTGCTTTCTCCTGAGTCTCAGCAATATTTCGGCATCACTTTGCAGGGGTGGTGGCTAGTTGGTGTTACGCTCCCGTTTGGTTGGAAGAATTCCCCCTTTGTTTACCAAACTGTTGGCTTGGGTCCAACGAATTTTTTCAGGAACTTAGGGGTGGCATGTTCTCTTTACATTGACGATCGTTTAAATGGGGAGTTGTTTTCATCGGAGGGTTTTTGGTCGCGCCCCATTTCTCGGAGAACTCCGGATTACAGTTATCGGTCTGCGATGGTGGCCTTGTATATAGGGCCATTCCTGATGATGTTGTCGATTTCTTGATTTGGAAGGACAGTTTTGGTAAAACGGTGGTACATTGTGATACGTGTCCGTTCTTTGGAGAGAGAAGTAATTCGTCCTGTTCGTGCCCTAAACGCTTGGCGTATGGTTCGGTTGACTCTACCATTGGGAAACTGAGAGCCATTTTCAACAAATATGGTAGAACTGCCATTGATGGCCCTTTTCTCGGGCTCGCTAATCCTGCAGCTTCCCCTGAGGTCAAGTCCTATTTATCGGCCATTAGAGAGGAGCAGTTGGTTGCATGGGTCGTCCCCACGCAAGCTGAGCCATTCTTTTTCAGGGATTTGGTGATCTTGTCGTCGGAGATACTTCGGCGCATGAACACTCACCTTCGTTCTCCATCACAGTTATAATTTACCACGGGATCAAGCGTTTTTTAAAATACAGTTCTTTGGCAGTGACAGGGCGGGGGACTTGGGTCGGGTACGAACGCAGGAGATGCTGTACTTCCCCAACAACCAGGGCTTGTTGTTCAACCACACCTTGACGAAGTCCCTGCGGGATGGTGCTTCGAATCTTTTTGGCCTTAAGCGTCATGTGGATCCGACAATGTGCCCGGTTACCGCCGTGGAGGTTTACTTTAATCTTTGCGACTTATTGAAGGTTCCTGTTCGCCGTGGATTTTTGTTTCGACCTTTGAACACATCGGGGGAGGTTCTGTCTGCCCCTTTTGGGTCTGCTGCAGCCCAGTCGCGATTATCCCTGTACGCTAGCCAGCTCCCGGACTTAGCTAATCGGAACGTCACTCTGCACGGTTTAAGAAGTGGTTGTGCGATTTCTCTTGCGCTGGCCGGAACGAAACTTGATCAGATCATGGACCACGTGGGCTGGAAATCATCGTCCACAGCACTGTACTATATTAAACTGAATCAAGTACTTAGCTCTGGTGGCGCTACTGACGCCCTATCTTCTTTGACTTTAGACTTAGCTGACGCTTATAAGGAATATAATGATTTGCGGGGTTTTACTAAAGCCCTCACTTAGAGGTTTTCCCCTCTTGCGGGTCATTAGTTTAAGGGACTTGAACTTAAGTTAGGGTTGGGGATGTTAGCGCGTTTAAGGATTGGGTAGGGTTAGGGGGTTTATTTGGTGTGCTTGGATGATCTATTAGGGTAATTTGACAGTGGTAGGCGCAGTCTGGGGCGACTTTCCCATAACTAAATGCTAATGAGTATGCAGGAAGGATATTGAACTATTCATACCTTATTAATATTCATTAGACTTCGTGCATACTATATAAGCATGTGTTGATTATTCATAGTTGTCAGTTTGTCTAACTTTGGTTGGATTCGCCCCGCCCTCCCACCCCTCCTGTATACTCTATTAGCACCTACGTGTCTTCCCCAGCGGGTTCGCTCGTCTGGGGTGACTTTCCCATAACTAAATGCTAATGAGTATGCAGGAAGGATATTGAACTACCCATCTAAGCCACATAATTATTCATACAGCAAGAAAATTATAAGACAAGGTATGGAGAAAATAGGATAATTCATAGTTTTCATAGTGAGCTTGGGCTTCCTGTGCTAATACCGAAAAAAGTCAAGGGGAAATTAAAAATCTTGTCCACACAAAGACTGATTCTACCCACATGAATTTGGTTTGAAAGTGGTGTTATAAAGCTCATCTTGCCCGAGAATTTGCCTCGTATAAATTGCACAGCCCCTTATTTAGTACCTCGAACACCAAGTCTCCAATCAATATGAATAAGTTGATAGTGTTAATTTTTACATTTGTATAGAGTTTCATGGAATTATTGTTATTGATGCATATTTTCTACACTATCTAGTTTCCAATGATAAGCCTGTAACAAGAGAAAATGATAATTAAACAAATTACAAATTTACAAAAAAAAGCATGGCAAAGGTCTAAAAATATCTAATATATATATGTCAGGTACTTGATTATTGCTTTACTGGGTCACCTTCATATGATTTCATATTTGTTGCATAAACTACTTTCACAGGCAGTTTATAAGTGCCAAGTGTCACACTCAAACAATATTATTGTTATTATTATTGTCGGGTCAGGCTCAGGCTAGCGCTCTGATTTTCAATTTGTCATATACACACAAGAAGCCAAAACCTAAAAAAGAGTACCAACCCGTATTCTGTATCATGCAACGACGACATTCATTAATCATTGGGTTAGTAGTAGTAATTCTTACTCGCCATTAGGGAGCATTAAGCGTAAACATATAATTGATTCTCTTGTGCATCAATTTCTTTAACGCCGATTTCATCGCTGTCTAATATTATGTTGGCTCTCATTTTTAAGTCTCTAAAAACGCCTGGTGTTCTTCTGACGTATGAATGTAGAATAAAAAGTTGTTGACAACTGAACCCACGTTGCCAAATCTATCTTGATTTATGTTCTTCCTGCTCTTAATTAAACAAGGGATTATTGAGCTCCTTCAAACCTAAGAATTTGTTTTGTCGTTCATAACAATGTCACAAAAAGCAAAGTTGTGATAGTGCATAACCAAAGAAAAATCTTTCCCTGTCTGACGCATTTGTCTGATGCATGTACGCGTCGTCACTAACGCGTCGATGCGTCTGCGTTGTTTACTTAATTCTAGCCTGCGCTGTAGTTTTATAGTACGCTTTTAGTTTACTGCTGCAGTAATTGTCATTTTACTTTTGTAATTAAGCTCGCCTTAATTTTTGCTTCTACTTTCAGACAAGCATTGAAGTCATCGATATCACAGACAGCCCTGTCAAGGGTTGAAAAGCCGTCAAAGCCTCTCCCGTTGTTATAGAAGAATCCCCAATCATGAAAAAAGTAGAAAAGCTGCATGCAGATTTCAAATTCCTCGACACGGACCCAGAAAAACCAATGCTCTTCATAGGGAAGTCATTGTCAACCAGTAAGATTGTCTCGATACTTTTCAATCCTGGCCCTGGGATGTTGTCTACTAAGCAGCCTTTGAAAGTTAAAAAGGAATGCTGTTTTCTGCTTGACTTGCGCGGATGTTTGGAGGACCTTAGAGCAGATGGAAACCCTCCATACGACAGGTGTGAGTTTGTTATACCTCTTTCATCTTAATAAATCAGTATTCCACATACACACACTTGTATAGACATACAGAGCCCAGAAACAGATAGTTACCTTAAGTATTTTAGACCTGCCAATTGCAATTGGCCCAAGTACACTAGTTAGAGAAATTTTTCACTTTTTTGGATGTATAGTACACCATTTTGAATATTGGTCTGTGATAAAGTGATGGACAATAGTCTAACTAATTTTGAAGTTTATGTAATAATGGTTTTCCTTTTTCTAAATAAAATATGGCTGCAGTTCTCAGAAACCTTGAGGAACCACACTGGTCTTAAAAGCAGTATTTACAAAAACAGTATTTTTCTTAAAATTTCTTATAAACAGTATTTACAAGGCTTAAAAATTAAAACTTGGCCATAGTTTGCAATAATAATTTAAGCAGCCTGGATGCTTCCATGGAAGCAAGTCACATGACCAAATAACATTATACTTCTGGCTACTCTTGGCTAGAAAGGGAACTTATAACAATGAAATTTCTAGTAAGAAAAGTTTTTACTTGAACATGGAGGCTTTGGAGAGAATATGGGATATAAGGAGTATTGAGAATAACTGGTAATTGTTGAAATAACAATTTCACGCATTATTGACCTGGGAGGTCATTTAATATGGTGAAGTTACAAATGTGTTGGAGGCATCTGTTAATGATTTTTTTTATTGTTATTGTGACAGGTATGATGGATTCCGTAAAAAAAACAATTGCAGTAACAAAGAATGATGATGAGGAAGGTGAATGTCCATTCACTATGGTTGCTTCGAAGTCTGAAGATCTTAGCGAAGATGACCAATACGTGATTTATCGAGTCTATCACACCAAAACATTTAAAGATGGTAGCCACTTCCACCGCCGAATAATTTACATTTGTGACAGAAGAGGAGACATTGTCAATAATGTGGCCCTTCTTCAATGCAGGTTTGAAGAGGAGGAACGTGATTTTGATCTGAAGCCCCATGGTAACTCCAAAGATGGATCATGAGGCTTCACTCGCACACAACCCTCAACCATGTCAGCACTGAATCAAATCAAATCAACTTTATTGGTACATCCAATTAAAATGGGTTTTCACATACCAATTACAATAAAATCTAATATGAACAATAGAAATTCAATATAAACATTTGAAAGTGAAAAAACAGAAAAAATATAAAATATGCATAATTACACCTATTGAGTGTCAATGGCTTAAAAACTCGTCAAGGGCACGTCCTTTAATCGCATTCTTAAAAACATTAAATGACTCTATGTTTGCTAAACTTTCTGGAAGGTCATTCCAGAGCTGAACAGCCCTATATGAGAAAGATCGCTGACCTGTTGCTGATCTAAAAGATGGTACATGAAGTTTATCTTTATTCCTAGTATTTCTAGTATGCATCTGCCTTCTTGTCGAAAACTTATTACACAAGGATGGTGGGGCTAATCCCTTTATACATTTGAAAGCCATTAAAATGTCTCTAACCTCCAGTTGCTTAGCAACCGGCAACCAGTGGAGTTCCTTTAACATCGGCGTGATGTGCTCATACTTTCTTGTGCCAGTCACAATCCGTGCCGCAAAATTCTGAACTTTTTGAAGCCTAGCAATGTTCTTTTTTGTTGTACTAGACCACATGGAGGAACAATAGAAAATCTTGCTGAACACTAATGAATTTATGATGGTTATGAGCGTAGACCTATCAAACAAATGTTTCACACGATTGATTTGGCACAGGCTACCTGTACACTTAGATACAACATCGGTCACATGTTCGTCAAAACTAAGGCGCGAGTCCACGATGACCCCCAAATCTTTTGCAGAACGAGACGGTAGAATCTCCTTACCGAGTAGCGTAACTCCAAAACCCTCCGGCACACGAGCTAACATCTGCGGGGTTCCAAGAAGCAATAACTTAGTCTTATCTGGATTTATCAGCAAGCTGTGTGTGCAACACCAGGCGGCAATCCGTTGCAAATCTTCGGATAAATGTTCCACAGCCATGGCTGTCTCCTGGACAGGAAACGAGAGATAGAGCTGGGAATCATCCACGTAACTCTTTAGTGAGCACAGGTTAGGGACAGCTGGAAGATCGTTGATGTATATATTAAAAAGGGCTGGTCCCAAGATCGACCCTTGAGGTACACCATAAGCTACCTGGCGAGGATCTGACACCTCACAACCAATCCTCACCCGCTGATTCCTGTCCGTCAGATAGCTTCTAAACCATTCCATGGCCTGTATAGACACACCCAGTTCTCGAAGTTTACGTAATAGGATCCCATGCTCGATACTGTCAAAGGCCTTTGACAAGTCCAACAGAACCAACGCTGTGACTTGTTTTCGATCCATTGCTTCGAGAATCATATCGGACATGAAAATATGGAGTGTTTCTGTCGAGTGCTTCTTCTTGTTTCCATTTTGATGTTCAGTTAAACAGTTCTGACGTGTTGTGTACTCCGTTAACTGATTAAGAGCTGCTCGTTCGCAGATCTTAGACAGAGCGGGTAGCAGTGATACTGGCCGGTTGTTATTAGCAACCTCATGATCTCCTTCCTTTAATATCGGTATCACCACGGACTCTTTCCAAGCAGATGGAAAAACTGATGTTAAAAGCGATCTATTTATAAGCTCTGTCAGAACTGGAAGTATAACTGGTAGGGCATCCTTGATCACACTCATGTGTAACTTATCCATTCCTGGTGCCCTGTTTAAAGGAAAAGACAAGATGATCTGGTGTACCTCAAAGGTAGTGACTGCGCGGAATCGGAATTCATCTAGTTGGAATAAGTTCTTGGATGAGGGGGGCTTATACGCTGGAAGAACGTTAACTGAAGCAAGCCTCTTAGATTCAGCTGCAGCCCTTGCCCCCACAGAAGTAAAGAACTCATTGAACTCGTTCGCCAGTTCCGTCATATCCCTTGAGTACACCGGTTTCGATTTCTCTTTTGACGGGATACAGTTCCGTATTACCTTCCACATGGCACTACTACTCTGATTGCCATTCATCTCCTTTTGAACATGGATCCTCTCAGCATCATATAGCCTTCTCTTAACCTCATTACGACACCAACGGTAATGCTCCCAGTCCGTAACAGCGCCCGACACACGAGCAACTCTGTGTACTTGGTCTCTCTCATCCATCAGCTCCTTGATCTCTTGATCTAGAAATGGACATTGCCGATTTCTGACTTTCCTTTTCCTGACAGGCGCATGACGCTCCAGGACTGCCAAAAATTTCTCATTAAAATGTTCTACTTTTTCACTAGCATCATCAATCAAAGCATTTTCATACCATGGGACTTGGGCAAGATCATTCACAAAGCTCTCAGAGTTGTAATTCTTATAACTTCTAGATATAACATAAGTAGGCAGTGGTTTCGGCGCCTTGAAATTCAGTACCGCATAAACCAGATAATGATCGCTAATGTGTGTTTCAACCACACCACTATCGGTAACTAAGGCTGAATTGGAAGTCATGATGACATCAATCAAAGACTCGGATGTTGGAGTCACCCTTGTAGGCTCTGTGATAAGTTGTTTCATATTTAAGCTGCTACAAAAGTCATTCAGCGCTCTCGATTCATAAGAACTCGTGAGCAGGTCACAGTTGAGATCTCCAACAACCAAAACGGACTTTCCATAGGTAAGAGCTTGCAAATACTGATCCATAAAATCTTCAACAAAACATGACAGCGGACAGTCAGGAGTTCTATAGGTGACACACAACAAGAATGATTTCAATTTCTTTTGCTGAACTTGTACCCATAACTGATGAAAGCCAGAATCTGAAATTCGAGAAAGATCTTTGAGGACTTTGCTTTTGAGTGATCTCCGTACATAAACACAGACACCACCGGCGCGATGTTTAAGGCGGTCAAGCCTAATCAATTTATATCCCTCAATCTCTACTTCAGCGTTCGTAACAGAGGAATTGAGCCAAGATTCCGAAACCGCTAAAATTCCATACTCCTTTTCAGTCATTAAATTCCTCACCTGTAATAGGTGGTTTCTATTCTTGATCGATTGTGCATTGAGGTGAGCTACACTGATGTTTGACTTCTGAAAGGCTTGAGTGCGTGGCGTAACCATCGCGTGACACTGCGTCACATCTGTTGCTGGACTGCCATTATTATTCATAATCGCAGTTGGTAATATGTTAATGAGATTACTTGAATTACTTCGCCGAAGGAATTGAGAATTTGATGTATTAAAACTCCGTCTTCCATTGACAATATCAATCCTCCTTTTATCCTTAAACACGCTTTGGTTTCTGCCCCCTCGGTGACCTCTCCTTGGTGCCAACAGGTCCAAAGCCTTCAACTGTGCCCAAACTTCACTTGAAATCGGCGATACCGGCGAACCGTGACATGAGTTGTTCCAAACGCACTGAAGGAGAAATGTGCATCACTCGGGCCAGGGGAAGCTGTGCGACAGACGAAAGCAAATGGTGGTGGTGTTACAAAGGTCGAATCATCTGCCCAAATGCCAAGAGGGGAAAGACAAGCAAAGTATATCAGGAAAACATTGACTTCCTCTCAACAGCAATTTGATGGAAAGAACGGTGACGAAGTTTTGTCTGTCTTGTGTCTCATGAAAGAGGAGAACAGCGGGTTCATCCGAGATGTTAGTGTGGGGAGGGATAGCTTGTCCATTGTCCTCGCCCCTGATGTACAACTTGCTGAGATGGAGATTTTGCACAGAGGAGGTAATGTTTACTGTGATGCAGATAGACCCAACTTTCAACTTGAACCCGTATGAGTGCATCCCCGTCTCTTACCAAAATCTTCTCCTCGAGCGAAAATCCACTGGAAAACCACCAGTTTTTGTTGGTCCCGTGCTGATCCATTACAAAAAAGATGAGCGCAGTTAGAGGGACTTCCTGGACAAGTTGAAATCGTTGAGACCTGGTTTACAGGAGATTGCCTCTTTTGGGACAGATGGAGAAATTTACGATTTTTTGGCCTTCCTGAAAGTACAGAGTCAACAATTGAAGACTCAAGCGAAGTGTTGTACCGTTTCTTGGAAAGAGATCTTGATATCGAAGGGGCTCGTAATATTGAGTTTCAGAGAGTTCATCGCCTCGAAAGGAAAAAAGAAGGCGCCTCGCTCCCCATCATCGTACGTTTCCTTAGATATCCTGATCGGGAACGGGTCTTTAAAGCTGCTTTGGAAGCACAGGATGAGATTGATGTTAAAGTGTATGCAGATCTACCTAAGGAGATATAAGAAAATCGGAAGAAGCAAAGGCCACGGTTAAAGCGCGCAAGAGAGGAGGGTAAAACTGCCTACTTTAGTAGAAAAGAGCCAGACAAATTATTGAGGGACGTTTCGTTGCTTCATAATGTTTTTTTTTTTTCTTTTTCGGTGGGTCATAATTTAATATTAAACTTTATTTAGTTTCATAGCGCGGGAGCACTCTTTGCATATGCAATTAGTGGTATCAAATCCCATAGACTGCGTGTTACATAATATTATCGGCAGCCATTATATCCTATTGTTGTTTGTGTTAAATGTTTTGTGTTTTTTGACAGTACGTTGTGCTATTATTCCTTTCGTTGTTAATTTATGTATTTCTTGTGTACCAGTTGTCATCTCAAGATTAGGCAATAACGTTACGATAGTAAGGATTATACTGATTTTAAAGTATTATCCTTGAATGTTCGAGGGATTCGCTCCGCTACGAAGAGAAAAGCCCTTTTTATGTGGTTAAAAGAACAGAAACCGGATATTATTTTTTTACAAGAAACCTACAGTACAGCAGAAGTTGAAGATATCTGGAGAACATAATGGCAGGGTAAGTTTTTCTTATCACATGGTACTTGTCATAGCTGTGGGGTAATGGTTCTGGTTAGAGGTGATTTAGATTTCAATTTGATTTCGATTAGGACGGACGATGAAGGTCGCGATATTGTATTGGAAGCTGAAGTGCAAGAAGAAAATTTCTTATTGGTAAACGTTTATGTTCCTAACAAAGTTCAGGAACAGTGCCGTTTTATTGAAAATCT